GTTAATAAAGTAGCTAGCTTGTTAATAAAGTAGCTTGTTAATAAAGTAGCTAGCTTGTTAATAAAGTAGCTTGTTAATAAAGTAGCTAGCTGTGAGATGAGGCACTTCTACCTGAGGATTTCAGGTGGTGGTATTAACTCGTTAGTTAGACAAGTAAAAGAGTAAACATGGTCATGGTTGGTTTTCAACGTTTTCTCCTCAGTAGTGTGAAATACGAGTTCAGTGAGAATAGTTAGTTGTGATCTGGTCGTTCCTGACTCCTATGAGACGATCCAAAACCATTAAACACACACAGTAAACACTAGTGACACAAAGTCACTGAACTTATTGAAGTAATAACATCACATAACTGACAACGTATCATGTCTCAAGCAGCCAATAAGTAAGTAGGATTATAAAAAGGTTTGATCTGCATTATTTTAAACTTGAACCATGAATATAAATTTACAGGGCAGACTATAACAAATTACTTTAACTCTTTCAGGGTTTCTGCAGGTTTCAACAATTTCATGTTCAGTTCTTTAGTCAGCTATGTATTTTAAAGCTGAAAAAGCCTTAATTCACCCAATTTAGTAGTGTTAGATAGTTGTAATCTACTCTATCTTTATCAAAGTGGCCTCAGAATTTAAGTTTTTAAAGTAGGATGTTTTAGTCCTTTTGCCACCTCTGATCTCAGTATCCTTTCAAAAGTACCACTGTTTGTTCTGTCTGTCAAACCCACGCAGAGTTACGTTTCTACATGTTCCTTTTTAATCAAAACTATCCATTTTGCTCAGCAGAGACGCAGCTCGTTTGTATTTTTGTCCTCAGACACTGTATGTGTGGAACCAGCGAGCCCACGGTCATCATTAAGACAGTAAATCTGCATAGTCCCCCCTTTTTCTTTCTTTTTTTTTACAGTACAGTCTCTTCAAGTAGCCCAAGGAAAGACAATACCCAGCCTCTCTTCAATTATTTATTCTCACATCACCCCAAAAAAGATGACAAATGCTAATTCTGGTCCATTCCCCAGCTGGGCATCCAAGTGCTCATTAGTTTTAAAGAAGGTTAATCCATTTAGGTTTTGCATATTGATATGCCAATTATGTCTAATCGTGGAATAGGCATCCGTCAAGGTAATAGTGCATAAACACATGCAAGAACATTAGGGAGAAGTCAACGTTATAATAAAGTAGGTGTTAATTGGTGAGGGGAGGACTGTCGGCTAACTCATGTGTGTAATGTACAGCCGGGTGAGGAGGGACGAGGGGGAGGAAAAGGGGGGTTTCATCAGATTTTACCCCAAAAATCATGTCATTTGCAAACCCCATGCTGCGAGCTCTCTGGGTGTCGCGCCCAAAACACTCAACCGAGGAGGAGGGTCACAAGGGCAAAGGATTGTGGGAGCTATTATTCAGAATTTGCAGTGTAGAGAAACAAAATCTGTCACTAAGTGACGAGAGTTTCCCGGTGACATCTAACTATTGTTTGTGCAGTATTTACTGTTGCAGTGTGTAGTTAAATATAGTCACTGACATGATGCCAAAAGCACAGTTGCATGTAATACTAGTATCTGCTGTAAGAGAGCATTGTATTATTACAATCAAGTGTTTAAACACACAGGTAACCTGAAGCATGCTCTGTGTTCTCTTTCATGTATTGTTCTTGTTTTAAAGAACCAGTTTGTGGCATTTAGTGGCAGCGAACAGTGACGTTGCAACTGAACTCCGCTTGCGTGTGTATTTGATGACCTGGGAATGAGCACGGGCCCCATATATACAGCCAGTGTTTGGTTTGTCCGTTCTAGGCTGCCGTAGAAACGTGGCGCATCAACACGGCAAAATAAAACGTAGACATCTAAAAACCTTCGCAACATCACAATACATTTTAAAAATCTGCGTTTCTCCAACGTTATTTTAAACTGGCGTCCAAAATGACAAAGTTGAAGTTCATAAAAAAGGATTGTACTCTGCTGTGATGTGGTTTTGACCCTTCTTTTCCTCTCTTCTTTGTCTTTCAGATTTGCTGGTTCGGTGGGAAGAGTGCAGAGCAGTCACAAGGCATGCTGGGATACGAGTCCTGTACACTGTGTGAACCTCCAGCTACAATTCTTGAAGAGAAGAGGTAAGACTGTTTGGATCTGTACAGGGCTCATTAATTCAGCAGTGTGTACTTTGAATATAAAGTCAAAAATACATAAAAGTAGAAAAAAGGATTTAAAAACATTCTGTAGTTTACCCATTTATTGTTTTTATACAGTGCTGCTTCAAAGTATGTGAACCTCAGGAGCATTTCACAATTATTTAATCAGGAATCACATTATATAGAATAACATGTTTATGAACTCCATATTATGTAATGAAAAGACTAAATCAGGATTCTTTAGTAAACTGTTATTGGGGCAAAAGTGAGTGAACCCTGGGCAGCACATCATTTAGCTTTTGGTCCATCTGCCCTTCATACAACCACAGACAGGTGCAGATAATCAGCCCCATTATTAGCAGTATGCACAACAGCTGTGTTCACCTTGGTTGGCAGAAGCTCCACCTGTTGGGAAATGTAGTTTTAAAGTGCTATGAGGCCTACAAATAGAAGCCATACTTTGATCACATAGTAGGTGAGGAGGCTAGAGCCGCCATAAACCAGAGATCCTCCTGTAACAAGTAGAACTACAGATAAAGAATATGTATTTAAAGGAGAATGTTAAATTTCTGTCTGTACTCTATTTTCAGTTACACAGCGCTATTCACCTTGTTTTAAGTAACACAGCTCTGGGTTCGCTCAGTCTTGCCCCTGGAACTGATAAACACCTGTTAATTCATATAATACACACTGGTTCTGATTTAAATAAAGAAATGATGGTAATGCTCAGGAGGTTCACATGCTTCCGAGCAGCGCTGTATAACTGAAAATAGAGTACAGACAGAAATTTAACACTCCTTTAAATGCATATTCTTTATCTGTAGTTCTACTTGTTACAGGAGGATCTCTGGATTCTAATGGCGGCTCTAGCCTCCTCACCCCTACTATGTGATCAAGAAAAGTATGGCTTCTATTTGTAGGCCTCATAGCACTTTAAAACTACATTTCCCAAGAGGTGGAGCTTCTGCCAACCAGGGTGAACACAGCTGTTGTGCATACTGCATCTAAGTGTGTGGAAATGTACTCACAGCGACGCCCCTCTTCTCCAGCTCCTGGAAGACCTTTTTGATGTGGATGGAGAAGCAGAGTGAGAGCTGACAGCCTCTCTGCTGCGGGTCAGAGGGTGTGATGATGTGGACGTAAGGTTTGTCGGGCTGGGTGGAGTCCTCAGAGAAATAATGCTGACACAGGTACTCCAGGTAACCTGTCAACAGGAGGGACTTCCTGCACAGTGCCTGCATACTGGTCTGGTTGAACACCTGGCAAAATCAAAAAGGGAGTCAATGTAAATCAACTCATGTAAGAAAAATGCTGTTTGATGTTTAGATCGCTGTCCAATAAAACTACAGTAAAAATGTATTTGCTTGTTTCTGTGAATAAAGTGACCTGTTCCATTATTCTACTCAATGAGGGTCTTAAAGACATTTAAACTACTACTACACTACAGCATCAAGTTAATTCCTTGTTATTAAGTGTGAGCATTAACCAGTGCAGTACCTCCAGGCTGGCCTGCAGGGGGCAGACCAGCAGGATGGGCTGGTTCGACAGTCTGAAGCCGCTCACTCCAGGCTGCAGCTCCAACACTGAAAACACATTTCAACTAGTGTGAGCTTTATTATTACATTATTCCACACATGCCTGTACAGTTTACACTTATTGAAAATGTTCCATTGAATTCTATGCTTAGAACATACTTGCTTTATATATTTCTTATAATACATCAATATACCAAGGTAAAATCCTTCTATGTGAAACCTGATTAACAACCTACAGTTTAAACTGTATGAACATCAGTTCTCTACCTAGAATAGTGCAGATGTAATACCCAGTGAGGCCACAAGATGGCAGCAACCTTAAACTCACAGCACTGCCTTCAGAAAGCTGTGGCTACACAAACATGAGAGTGGGAAGAATGATTTCCTCTTACCGTTGTTCATCTTGAACCGAGTCTTCAGGTCGTGTCCCCACCATCCCAGCAGCCTGCAGGAGACGAGGACGTGATGTTAGTATTGTAGTTGTGTATCCAGAGATTTGAACAAACCTGAAAGACTGCACACATTATTTAATCTGACGATGTGTTTTAGCTGCTGACATGTTCAGCCTAACTAACAATTAAATCCAGAGGTGGAAAGTGCATTTACTCCTGTACTTAAGTAAAATTCTAAGTTACTTGTACTTTACTTACTTTAACGAGCATATAACATACAATGTGTGAACATTCTTAACTCAAGTAGAAGTTCAAATACTTGTGAGAAAGTAGAGACTCTGAAATGCAACAGTCCTCATATTGGGAAGGTGTGCAATGATGCAAAATAATTGGATAAAGAAATCAATATTTTCCCCTCAAATGCATTCAAACAAAGTCAGAAGCCTGTTTTTCAAAAGGTAAGAACTAGAAAAAGTACTACATAAGTAGAGTAATGAAGTATTTGTACTTTCCACCACTGCCTTCAATATAAAAGATTAATAACATCAGCTCAACTGCAGTTACAATATTCAATACATATCTTAGATGTTAGTGCTTCTATAATAATCTTACAGTGACTAGCAGTAAGTTAAACTAATATAACTACTCTCGGCAAAGTAATACTAAAAAATAGTAATAAATTCCATTTGAGTAACTAGCCCTACTTTGATATTATTATATAATGATAATATAAAACAACAGAGCTCATTCTGGCTGCATAGAGAGTCCTTTATACTAAAGACTAAAGACTTCTAACAGAGGATGTATCTGTCTGAGAGCACTTTATTGATCAGTGTGTGTGAACAGTGTGTGAGCACTCACGCAGGTTTGATGGTGTCTTTATGTTTCTCGTGGATGAACGCACCGGCCAGACCTCCAGCACCGGAGTTCAGATACTGTGAGACAGACAGACAGACAGTATTAATCACATGTGTCTGTGTGTGGAAGAGATCAGGAAGCAGTGTGGATCCAGATATTAAACATACCAAACATAAGAGGTTATTTCAACTACTAACTTTTGCCACCAGGAAGAACATTTTACTCTTTTGGATCAAGGATGTTACTCTTACAAAATAAAAGTCATGGCACAATGTTATAATGGACACACTGTCATCTTCCTTATTCCTTATATTTATTATTTACTGTAAAACAAAACTTCCTGTAAGCTTGTTTGTTTACATACTTATTTATTATGGGGATGGGTTTTTATTTTAATTTCTTAATCTCACACACTCATTTAACCACATTATGTGTGTTCCGCTCCATGTTATATATGAATATCTGAATATATGAGAGCAGAGTCAGCTGACCTTGTAGGAGCACCAACAGGCGAAGTCCACTCCCCACTCGTGCAGCTTCAGCTCGGCGTTTCCGGCCGCATGTGCGCAGTCAAACCCCACGCAGCATCCCTGAAGACGGACAGAGAGGACTTTTATTATCTGGTCTTAAACAGTTTCCGCTTTGTTATTGAAACTCTCTCTTACATTTTTGTCCTGTTTTTGGGCTCGTACGGGCTCGTTTTTTTTTACAAAATTTCTTTACAAATTCAAATGTTTAACTTTTAAAATACATTTTAAAACGTTTTACTGACCGTTGAAATAATTAACTTTTCTTTTTTTTTTACAGTTTAAAAAACTTTTTTTTTTCATTATTTGGGTGCTTGAAAATTAAATTGTGTCAATTGAAAATATTAAATTATATTTATTACAGAAATATTAGCATAAAGTAGCAAAAGTAAAAGTACTCATTATGCAGAATGGCCCATTTCTGAATATATGTTATATTACTGGGTTGTATTTAGTGATGAATTCACATCTGTGTGTCACATTAATCAGTGGTGGAAAGTACCTACGGGTAAGTACTGTATATTCACTCAGGTGCTGCATTTAAGTACAATTTTGAGGTATTTGTACTTCCAGTTTATGCTTCTACCTCACTACATTTGTCTGACAGCTTTAGTTACATTACATATTTAGAAAATTTTGATGAAATATAACTTCAGCTAATAAATTATGATTTATTATTATAGTTTGAACAACCCAGCAGAACTTAAAGTCACTAAAATGAGCTCATCAAAGTGACACATTAATGCCTTAATAATTATAATCCAGTATAATATATATGATTCTGAAATAGGCTGTTCTGCATAATGTGGTATATTTATGTGGTATATTTTGAAGTTGATATTTTTGTACTTTTACTGAAAGATTTTGAATCATTTTTTATTAGTAACAGTAGTTTTACACTGTTTCTACTCCTTTTCACTACTTTATATACCGCTGGGTGGATTAGTCCAATTAAAAACATCTGAATTTAATGATTGATTATATTTTGTATCAATAATATGAACCTGTAATGTAACTAAATCTATCAGATAAAGAGTAAAAATATTGTAAACAAACCTGGTGGAATAGAAGTAGAAAGAATTACAAGATGGATAAAGTCAAGTAAAGTACAGTACTTAGTTACTTTATACCACTGATGTGAACATGTGAATATATTACAGGACATTTTCTATCATTTACGTTCGCACAATTGATCAACATGCAGCACATTAAATCACATACACATTCTAAGGAAAGGGGAATAGATTTAGTGATATTTGCAAAGATTTATGATCCTAAATGTCCTTAAAAACACATTTCATATCGTCTCTATTTAGGTGTCCATCGTTTTTTGCTGATAAAGTCACAATTACATTCAGTCCCTTGTGGCATTTGCATGTGTGTATGTTACCTTCCTCTGGCCAGCCTCAGTGATGGCGGCCATGTCAAACAGCTGCCCAGTGTAATACTGAACCCCGCTGAGCATCACCACGGCGATGGAGTCGCCCTCCTGCTCGATCACTCTGAGGATATCTGCAGTTCTCAGAGTCTCTTCACCCTGAACAGCAGGAACAATCACTCATCAGTTTCCACTTTGTCTATCATGCCAGCTGACGGCAGAGAGTCTGTGAACTGTGTGGCTCCAGTACCGGTCTGGGTTTCAGCAGCAGCATGCTCTCCTCGGGGTCGAATCCTCGCAGCCGGATCTGAGACTCCACAGCGTACTGAGGACGAGAGAGAGAGAGAGAGTCACGCTACAGAGAAATCAGAGAAACACTCCACACAAGAAAAGTAACATTCATAAAGAGTTTCATTGTTTTTTGGTGCTGCACTCTGACATTTTTAATTCAAACTCTCCCACTGCTCTGGCAGAGCTGGTTTCAAGCAAAGGAAACTAATTATTAAAGCAATAATCTTGGTCCACTCAGTTATATCACGCTGAACAACATCAGTGTGTAGTCCTGAAACAGCCACAAAACCATTTTTCTTTTTCTTTTATTCTTTTGTTGTGCAGAAATTGCTTTTCAAAGTAAACAGTAGAACTAAAAGGGTGAAGTTTCCTTTTTGGTTTGTATGTTTTAAGCAACATACAACATTTTTTGCAGTTTTGGATTATTTATATATTAATATATCCACTACTTTTGACAACTTAAGTCTTCATTTGTGCAGTTAAGGAGTCTTCCTCTATGTATTCATCCCAATGTCTCTGCAGGATCCGATTAGGGAAGCCTGGGCCAGTGACTTGAATTCAGAGATATCAGCAGAGTTTTGGGAAGGGCCAATGTCCCGGGTTGTTAATCCATTACAAGGTGATGACTCAAAACTAAAACTGTGTGTCCTGAATCAAGTGTTGCTCTGCTGAAGGATCATTGGCACTGAACAAACCCAACACACAGAATGGATTTGAGAGAGGACCTTTCTTAGCACAGATCCAAATTACCCAGCATCCATCGAGACGCTGACTTGCCTGGATACATGAGCGGTGGTGTGTTTAACTCTTACTTCACCTTCCTCCCGAGATGTTTACATTGTTAACATTTATAAATCCATTTGCATTGTGTAGAACAAACTCGGTTAACCAGCTAGTAGAGCAAAGTGCAGCAGTATAACAGCAGTGTGATGAAGAGGGAACTTGTGGTTCAGTTTAAGGACACAAACAAAAGGAAGGATTTAATAGAAAACTGCTTTTGTGTCAACATGTGGGCAAACATTCACAGGTTTACTCACGTGGTCCGAAGGAAAGGCCTTGCTCTCCAGAAGGATTTTGTGCCGAGCTGCTGTTGGTCTGTAGAAGGAGAGCTGCAGAATAAAGACATGAAATGAGGTTGATTAAATATCTTTATTGGTTTCATTTTAGTTGATGTCTGACAGGGTTTCAACTTGCTTTCCCCCCAAATTCATTTCCTCTCTCCAACATTTCTGACGTCTAACTGCTTCCTTTTCTTCGTCTGCTCGGTGAATCATCTTTTTCCAGGAGGTGTTTGGCAATCATCATCTGAAACTTTCATGTTCAATCCTTGATATTAAACTAAATGATTCTTATTACTTTTGTTTCCTTTTCAACACAGCATCTTAGGTTCAAATGACTCACCAAAAATAACATCTTGAGTATTCACTTCCCATTTATTGAGCTTGATCATGAACTTCTGGCAATATGTTGCAATATAGAGAACTTAAGACATGTTTTTTGTTATTTGCCAAATGGCTTCCAACAATAAGTGACTGTCTCACCATCAGGAGGTGTAAATTCACCGTCAGGCCGTTCATCAGGGCCACCTCCTCAGGTTTGGCTCCTGTAGGAAACAACAGCACAGCATTTTGCAACAATCTGAAGATGATGATGACTGATATTGTGTGATATTTAAAATGTTTAGCACAAACTGTTTAGCTACAGTGTACATTAAGGTATAGTGCCATTAACAAAGGCAGATTTAATGGGCTTCTGCTCAGAAGGAATTTTATTTGTCATAAACAACGAAGGGTTACACAACAGTGTAATGTTTAAGTGTTCTTGGCTGACCCAACATTAATTTTGGTGCTCCTGTCCATGTAGGCTGGGCACTTCTCACACTGTATGTGCAAGACACAGTACATAACATAACATAACTAACTATCCTGCCATGCACAATAAAGAACATGCAAACACAATGTAGAGAGACCCATATGGAATGGAATCGTAGCTCTGTACTGCAAACAGGGGAATAACGATTTCATGTGAACTTTGGACTCTACAAAAAGTGCAGTGACCTGAACAAGCAGCCTCACAGAATTATGAAAAAGTTGCAAAACAGGTATCTACCATACAGAATAACACTGCTGAAGAACGGCCAGGAACGAACCGTGTTTAACTGTTATCAGTAATTACAAAGTTTGATTATTGTCAAACATCCTTTGTGTTGAATAATTTCCTGTAAATATAAAATGGTAGATCTTTTTTCTATACTAACTGCTAATTACTCTGGGTCTGTACTGTACGTAAGTAGTATGCAGCAGGGAATTGGGTCACAGCTCAGCTATATTTGTTTAGTTTATATTGAAAATGGCCCCTTTAATGTTATTTCCTCCTTTTTTGTAGTTTTGTTTAATTTCCTTCAATGTTTCGCCCTCCAATTGTTTTCCTTCTTTCTCCTTCCTCCTTTTTTACCCTTGGGTTCCCAGCCCTTATTTGCATCTGTTAGTTGTTGTTTCCACTCATGAACAGCCTCTTAATTAAAATGAATACTTGAGTGACTCAGAGAAGTTTAAATGCCTTTAGAGTTTGCCTTTCTTGATACAAATATGAGCTGCTCTGTGCTGTATTTGCCAGATTTGGCTAAAATGTGTTCACAGCACAAACTCCCAGAAACTTAATTTGGCCCTAAAGATGAGTATAAACAGGAGCCGGGGATCAGGAGCTTCCTGGTGTGAACTTTCAGACCTCTTTACGTTGATAAGAAACTCAACAAAACCCTCGATAGATTAAGAATGTATAACTTACAGAGTGCGTCTCTCACCTACAACATTAGCCATGAGTTCCTCTATGTTGTTCTCAGCCCACGCCCAAGGTCGACAGCCTTCTGTGTGACCATGAACGCCTCTGTAAAAGAGCTCATTTTAAACATTTATCTCTTATTAAAGTCCTTCTAGGAGACGCAGAGTATCAGAGCTGACGTACGTTTTGGCCCACTTCTCCAGCTCCTCCTCCAGGTACTTCCTGGCCATTTTGGGCTGAAGCCCCAACGAGTTTCCCACAAGGTAGATGCATTCCTGCTCGCCGTCGACCAGCGAGAGATCAGCTGAGGAAATATCAAAGAGGAACTGATCAGAATCATTTTCATATGACTAAATGATGAAGCTACATATCCAAAGAGCACTTTAATCTTTGACTCACAAGGAGGTAAATCTGAGATTTTGGGCACCAGGAACTGCTCCCTCAGATGACTCAGCTTGTCATGTTTGTCGAGGTATGCAGCCACTTCTGCAGAGGTCGGACTGCAGCCCAGCAGGGTGGCAACTCGCTTCAAGGTGTCGCTCGGAGTTGAGCCGTCAAACGGGTCCATTACTGCGGGTCGGGGAGGCTGCCGGCCTACAGAGAGAGGAGTTACACCACTTATTAAAAAACATAGAAACTACAAACACACCATCCCGCTTCAACTTTCTCTTAACCTTTTCTGGTCTGTGACACTGTTTCTAGGTCCGACAGTCTCATGCCCCCAGCTGTTAGAGGGTTTAAATCAAGTGAATTAGAATAATGTATGAGTTTGTTCTCTTATCTGTTACTCAAAATACCTCGGGTTTTATGTTTAGGCTCAGTTAGGCTGAAAAAATGGAGGTGTCACATAGGGCATACAATGTGTACCACATTAACCACACTGTCCTTAGTTCGAGTCAAACCAGGGACCTCATGATTGAGGTCATGATTGAGGTCCCTGGTTTGACCTCAAGTCAATCCTGGCCCTATTCCAGAGTTTACTGTCTGCCTCTTTCTCCAGCATTGTGCATTTTCTGAGCAATACAAACAGTTTCCAGTAGAAGCAATCACATAATGTTTCTGCTGAAAATCACCAAGCACTGGATGAATTGAATGAATTTTATTAGTATGTGTACAGTTGGAAATATATCTCAATAAATATCTTGTACAGCATATTCTATCTGGAAAAAGACCTCACTTTTAATGAAACTTTCATTTCAGACTGTGACATAAAGCGTCCCAACCAGCTGGGATTTGTCACTCAACTTAAAAACAGATTTCCTTCCTGACTTTCACACCACTAATTCTCACATTATTTACAGTCAGTTTTTATATAAACCTTGCTAACAATAGTCTACTTTATATTAGAACTTCAGTGATTTTGCTTTAAAAAGGTATTTTTGTTTACTTGAATACATAGTCCACTGTGTAGTTCTCAGCTGTAACACCAATAACAGTCCAGTTTCTTTAACCTGTAACCTTTAGTACATTCCTGTTTTTGCTCTGAAAATAAGCTGCATGGCTACTCGTTCTTTCATAAAGTGAAACCTGGATTTTACTGAAAGCTGTAACTCACGGTTTGTAGATGAGCTTCTACTCCGCAGACTTGGACTCCTCTACTTTGGAATTGCCCTTTAACCGCATTCTGCGCAGCCTGAAGTTAATCATTGCTCTAATGAACCAGGTTTTAGATAAAACTAGAGCGTCCTTTAACTCTTCATGGATCTGGTTAATTGCTGTTATTAAATGTCCTTCTGTGCAACAGGCAGACAAGAGTGAGTTCCCCATTTTTTGTGGTTTCATTTTTATGTGGGAAATCCCTGACGTACAGTGTGATTCTAAAGCAATGATAATCAATAGGCTGCAGTGACAGCCTCCTCTTTTGGTTAATCCCAAAGGTGTTGTTTGGGGCTGAGGTCAGGGCCAGTCCTCCCAACCAAACATTTCTTTATGGAGCTGGATTTGTTATTTCGTCTCACTTACATATATTCAACCACATACATACTTGTAAAGACTTACAGAATTAAATTCATTCAAAGTAACACTGTCTGCTCTTTTGTCTCCTGTATTTGATTTTCTATCTCCACTAGATGGCAGCAAAGTATTCCCAGACTTGAGGAACAATTCAAATTCAGATAATATCTACTATATATATATATATATATATATAATTATCACATATATATATACACATATATACACACACATATATATATACACATATATATACACACACATATATATACACACACATATATATACACATATATATACATATACATATACACACACACATATACTATAAGAGGATGAGAATTAAAGATATGGTAAATAAATAAATTAAATTATTAAATATTGATATGATAAGTTCTCATTAAGCACTATATATGTTTAGTATAAAAGTTATTGCTTGTTGGTGTTTTGCTGCGTTTTCATATTTGGTAGTAAAGGTTGTTTGTGGTTGTCGGCAGAGCGTCTATATCAATGTTAACTATTTATATTTCTATTCATGTGGAGAAAGCAGGTTATATAAGATGTTTTGTCAGTGATTGAATGTGTATTCATTTTTGGATAACGATGCATTTTTTTGTTTGAAGTTTGTTTGAGTCTGAATCTGAAGAAACCTAATGAGAAAATCTCTTGTAATATCACTTCAGGGAATTAATTATAATAAATAAATTAATGGATTTAACTGTGTAGGATTGTTGTTTTTATAAAGAACTTTCTGGTGAACCTCAGATGTAAGACTCAATCTCTGTATAAAATTAGGATTAATTCCCACAACCAAAGTGGCCAGTGTTGTTTCCTCACCTCTTTTTCTTCTTTTCTTCTTCCTCATTATTCCTCCTCACAGTTCGCTAAGCCGTCTGCTTTCATTTCATCAGGTTAGCTGCCGCCTCCACTCCGGCTGAAGGTCATATTATCCAGGCACACAGCATCAAACAGCGTTGGAACCTAAAATAATACAAACATCAGCTGCATTAAATATACAACATTGTTTTTGATGTTTTGAAAATATATGAAGCTTATGCATTCATTCATTCATTCATTAAAAATGACTGGAAGGACTTAAATTAAGCGAGGAGAGCGAATCAGAGCCAAGTACAGAGGTGATGAGTGGTGTTTTTAACTAATATTGGAGTAAAACAGTAACCTGACATTGCATCAGTGACACCTCACTGTTTGGGGAAATGTCTCATAATCCAACTTGACAGAGTGAGAAAAGCAAACGCCGAAGGTTTAGAGGTTGTACTGTACCCTGATCTACAGTATAGAGGTGTAACCGTCCCTCAGCAGTGTTTGAACTCAAACTGAGGCCAGAACCTTCTGTCATTCAGCGTCTCTGGAAAACCGCCTGCTTTCAAATCAACAAATATACTTATGCTGCTTATAAAATGCTATATGTTTACACAGAGGATGTTTATTTACATATATGAACACATGCACGTTAATATATTCCCAAGGCAGCAAGGTTAGGGTAGATAACTGTTAGTTCAGCCTTCAAACACGGTCAAACATCGTTGAAACCCGGATAATTTTATCAAAATGACAAATTTTCAAAAGATACGTTGACCAAAGAATTTCTGAGTAATGTGTATCGCATTAGGTAAAGAAATCAGGGGTTATTTAAGGAAGAAAGGAATGAGGACTGTGGATTCTGAGGAGCCTCAGTTCTTGAGCAAAATAATGTATTAGTCTAAAGGAGACATTACTACATACTATACTTTAGACTTCATGTAGCTGCTCCTGAACAGTTGTTTGCCTTTAAACTACATGCTGCTGATAAATCCACTAGCATAGCCTCACATGTTGCTGTTAAAGAACAGAAGAACATCTCAGACTTGACCTTCAGGAAAACTCAATAAAAAGTGCCCCTCTAGGTCAAGCTGATTGACCTTTGACCCCATCTTCCCTGCCCTCTGAGTTTAAAGATGCTGACAGCTCATTTTCAGGTCGTAACTGTTTTCCCCAAAACAAATATGTAGCGATTAAAAGATTTCAGTTTTCCACAAGAGCTGGAAAGTATAACTGCAAATTAGCTTGTTGTAACTTCTCTAAGACAAACTGACATAATCAAAGCAACCAGTAAATCTGTTTTTAACCCAGCTGCACTCTTAAACATTTTCATTTTCAACAACATATGTAAAATGAAGGAAAAAAAACCTATTTACATTACATGTGCGGTTAAAAACATGCCATGTTTAGAAAAAGCAAAGCATGCAGACGTGTTAAAAATGACTAATGCTTTTTTAATAAGGCAGAAACAATATGGTTGCAAGATGTTTGTGGTGCATCGTAGCTGCCGACATGCCTCTTGTATGTTATTCCCTTGTTTTTCTCACAGTAAAAGGAGGATGTGTGACATCTGGAAGCGCTCAGGAGGCAGGACTGAAACGTCCCCCTCTGTCGTTTCTCAGGGCATCAAAGGAGGCGGCAGATAATGCCTCCCCTCCCGCGAAGAGCGAGGAACCGCCACCGCCGCGGTCTCAGAGCAGGGAGGTTTTCAGGAGGTTCTCGAGAGTCTAATGTGGATGATAGGAACACATACAGTACAGGTGTGAAAAGGCGGAGAGTTACAGGACAAATTGGGGTTGTAGTGCAGGAGCAGCAGGAAGGGAGGGGTTGCAAGGTCGGATTCGGCTTTTAGTTTCTCTCTCCTGTGTCATTCAGGAGATGACAGGAATTTAGAATATTTTGCTATATTGTTAAAACTTTAAATATCTCTGGCCATTGGGGGCAATGCTGTAAATGTGCCATGAAGCACCTTGACTTTTAAGGATTTTTAGCAACTGCATTAGCCAAAGGCACAGGATCCCATCTGGTTATTTTATCTTTTATTGAAGTAGAAAAGAAAAAAAGACAAATAAGAGAGGAAATGGTGCAGTTTTATTAAGCAAGTATTGAGTATTGAGCAACATCTAAGATAAAGCTTATCCCATGATCTATTAATTAGAGGAAGTGGACAAAAGCCACGCTTCATGAATATAATATGCTATTTAGTATTTAATGCATCTGCTTTTTTTCCCACCTTAAGGATTTTTTCATGAGTGTATTAATATTTGTGACGTTAGAGACAAGAAAAGCACCAATAAAAGTAAGGGGTTTTCAACTATGTAAGTTTAAATGTCCTCCCTTCTTTTAAAAAGGTTGAAAAGTTTCAGAGCGAAAGCAGTTAGGACAGTTTTAGAACATTATTTTTCCTCCTCAGGTGTTGACAAAAACAATCTCACCACAAGGTCTGTTGAGTGTCTGCTCCAGAGCTTTTGATTGTGTCAATCATCCTCAGCTGCTGGAGCCCAGTGGACATGAGACTGTAGCTGTTTAAATTCTGTAAACTCACACACACACAAAAAAAAGGTCCAAACGTACCCACACATGTCCAATCCAGCTGAATGTTGTTGTCTGAGATCCATTTTGGTTTAAAAGTAAAAGCTAAAAAGACAAATTTGTTGAGAGATGAAGTTCCTTGAAATGGTATCACTACTTCCTTCATGTGATGCATTTCCTGTTGAAACAGGTCACTGAGGGGTCAAACTTCAGGGTAAACCAATCAGGTTGGAGTTTCACAGAGAAAGGCCATTGGATTGGACAGAACAGGTAAAAAAAAGCCGGGATCAGGAAAAAATGTAGTCTACTGATTAGATTATTGGCTGCACTCAGTTCCATCTATGGGATGTTTGGGAGCTAATTTAAGGAATTATTCTGGGATGAAACTATAAGTAAAACTGAGTGTGAAAAAGATTCCTGTGAATTTGAGGGTTCAGGTTTAATCAAGTGTTTATTTTGTTGTTTCATTGCTTGTAATGAGGCCCTTTGGGGCATTGGAGTCTGTCTGAAAGTGCAATTTCATCCCATCTGACTCATCTCATCTCCCCTTTATAGAACAACACCTTACTGTTTAGAGGGCACTGGACTACACTTTGTACAAACAATATTCTTAAAGCGTACTGAAATCTTTGCTTTTCTTTATGTTTTTGTATTTTTAGGTCATCTTTGGCCTTAGGTGAAGACGTAGAGAAAGTAGGGAGGCAACCAGAAACGAGGGGTAAGAAAGGCTGAATGCAATAATCCTCCACCATCAGGTTGAGGACATTTTGATCCCTGACTGTTGCAGTATCCTGAAGCAAAGCAATCAGCCTCTACCTAGTTAAACAACTACAATTTAAGGTCATAAATGTCAATGTGTGCAACAAAATGTTCCTCAAAAACCACCTCACTCTTCCTCACATGTTCTGCACTGCAATGAAATCTCAAGTCCAAGCCTGAAAGCTGAAGGTCGGAGACTTTCTCACCGCGTTGAAGTCTGAATGAAAAGGCGAGTGCAGAAACACCTGCTGCTCCTCTCAGGTCTGTTATTTAGTGGAAAGGTATGTCTCTCTGTCTCTGTAGTCTCCAGCACCTGATATTTACTCTACACTCGGGAGGCCGACCTTCTCTGTTTCAGCTCCGCAGGTTCCCACTTCCCCCCGCAGTGAAATCAGCTCAGTAACAGTAACTGTTTTCAGTCACATGAGGAGATAATGAACTGAGAGAACAGATTGGGCCCTTCAGTGGTTGGTGTTTAGATGAGTTTTCCTCTATTTTGGAAAAAGAAATGACATTTTTTTGTGAGTTCTACCATATTCTTTGTTTTGTTATTTGAAGATTAGATCAGGATGAAAGAATATGTACTGTTTCATGCTATATCATGAGTATATATTGTTTATTTATTAAATTCCTTTTTTAAAACTACATTAAATGGCACTATGGGACAGAATTAGGATGATACAGTAAAAACACTTGTTAGTATTTTGATAAAGCCTTTCACGCACTGTTAACTATTAATTTCATCCTCATGTTTCTCTAAAATAAAGCCAGACTGGACGCTCACTTCCTCCACAGCTGCCGACATGCTGTGAGTTTTACATACTGAGTACATACAGCTGCACAGGACTGCGTGTATATCCACTGTAGTCGTGTAAAGTCTGCTGCACAAATGTCTCAACTGTCAGTTTAAATCCAGAGTGAAAGTTCGACTTTTTTGTCTTATATTTGCGTTTATTTCTCTGCTTGGTGATTAAATAATTTGCAGATTTACAGAAAAATGCATAAAATCTGCCAACATGAGTCAGTAGTTTGGCCTGTTGTGGAAACACAAGATGTCAACATGTGGCAGAGTGGCTCTTGTGAGCAGCAGAGAGTCAAGGCGCACAGTGTGTCCGTGGAGACGCTGCTGAGAGGATTTCCACTCTGATCGCGTTCGTTATTGATTTGGATCCACGTGATGTTGATGGAGAGACGTTGTCGGGGATCACAGAGGATCCACCTACAGGAACAGACTCCTCGGTGTTTCACTGCCTCCTCCCTCCTCTCGTTGTCATCCTGCGCCCTCCGCACAGGGAAGCCGCAGTCTCCAGCGAGCGGAGCGCAAAATTAAACCTCTTTTTCTCCGATTATAAAACGGGATCGGGAGGATAAAAAACAAACTGCTTCACTTTCGCACCGTTTCTGCAAACTTTCAATGGGACCCGAAGACTGAGGCCAGCTACCTGCATCGCTTTAACCCAGAGCCGCAACCATGGACTGTTGCGCATTTGGTTCGGTGCGCCTGTTGTTTCCAGGATATTTACGCATGGCGCTGCTGTGGGTTGTGCAATTAGGAGCGTTCGCGCAACATGGTAGGTGGATGGAAAACTTTTTTTATGGCTTGAACAAACGTTAAAGATCATAAATCTCTTTGTGTGCATCGAGGTAATCATCTCCAAATGGCCCCCAGCTGCCATGAGGCGCAACACTACTTTTCGTCTTCAGGCGCATTTAAAATAGAAGGAGATGTCTAATGCAATCCAGAATCTCACATATACAGTTTATAATCATCATTTCTTCCAATAAAATGCAGAGAAAGAACATCTTGCCTGTTAAAAGCAGCAGATTCTGCAGAGCTGCGTGACTTCGCCTGTGAGGCTGCATTCCTATCACTCAGCAGGTTCAGAGGTTAGATGGACCTTCAGAGACTGAAAGGAAATCACAGACAAGAGCAGACCTACAGTCACATACAGACTCAGACACTTAACTTAAAGAAAAACTAAGATATTTTAGCTGAATAAAACTCAGCAGTGGATGTTTGTCAGGTTAAAATCTTCCTTACACAGAAACATCCATGTGTCAAATTTTGTAAAAGTTCCTTAATTGATGCTGCAATTATCTGCTCACTATTTGTCCTCATCATTAGGGAAGCTTTGGACATGATTCCCCAATTATAACTTCACTGGACTCATTCACAATCAGGAATTACTGAAGAAAAACACTTTAAAAACAACATGGACAGAAATAAAAGTAACAGCAGACTTATAAAACAGAATCAGAGACTCATAAAATGCAGCTGTAATTGAAACAAGATTACACATCAAGAGTTGTGGTGACTAATTCCACAACATAATACACTTGTTGCTCAATATGATTGATTAAACTGCTTCACACACTGTTCTCTTTCTGCCAGTGCTGCAACGACATGTGTGGCCAAAAATGTAAAAGATGCACAGAATGTTCATAATCTCAGCAACAAATGTGCAATTCCCTTTATGAGCTGCTGTCTGTTCATATTGTGGCTGAAAGTGTCTCAAAATCTGATCCTGGGGAAAAGTGAATTAACACTCAGTTCAGACTTGAGGTATTTGTGGGCAGGACGGTCAGAAAGTTGTGTTTTGTGCAACGAGGACAGAAACACAAACTTCAGACTTGCATTCAGACGAGACGATGGCTAAAAGTGTTGAAACAAAAGCTGAAGCGGTGTTTTAATTACTCCATCTGTTTATGGTTCACCAATATCTCAAAAATCTGATACAAGCAGAAACTGAGACTGGAACCTGCAGTGGGAACATAACTTGTGACCAGTACTTTCAGTCAAATTAACCTGAAGTCTTATTTGACTATAAAGCTGTTTTCTCGGTCAGTCAAACATGCCACACTGTCTTCCATCTCGCTCATATCTGTGTCTCCAGGGCGTCCAACAACAGATCAAAGCACGCGGCCGTAAACTTTAAGGCATGCCATCGTAAAATGAAGCGCAGTGGGTCCTCACAGAGCTTTGCAACAAGAACACCAGGCGTTTCTGTGCCAAAACAAAGTCTATGGCAACTCCTGTAACTCGAGGAGACACATTTTGTCCAGCTGACAAAAAAACCTAAAGTATATTGATTTAACCTGCTGAAAGGGATGTGTCCAAACAGCACCAAGGCTTCTAAATTCTCCCCCAGGTACTTTTTCAACATTTAACCCAGCTGACCTCTCAGTGGTTTATCAATAAAAGGTCATGTAGTGTAACCAAACATTGTTAAACCCACTGAACTTTATTCTAAAGACAAGATCCCAAAGTTATCATTATTATATTTGGTATTTACTTTTTAGGTGCATTTAAGTCCAACTGTGAGTCAAAAATAAAACTTTTCTGGATCTCAGTGTTGTGCTCTTTTATCAGGTACTTTTGTAGCCTAGCATAAAACAAAACCCAAAGGTGGTTTTGCCTTTATTAAGAAATTAGTTTGTGCCCCATGTCCCTTTTTTTAAGTTGAGGTCATTCATAAATCTTGATTTAAAAACGCTTAAAAGAGGTGAGATTGGTGTAGAGTATCATAATATTTAGGCTAAGAGTCTACAGTGACGCGAGCGGCTACGTGGCTCTAGAGGAAAGTGACGAATCGCCAAAGTCAACAGGATTCATGGTCTGGAAACTGCTCAAAATTTCACAAATCCAATAGTTGTTGAGATATTAAAGTCTGGAGGGTGACGGTCAAAGAAAGTCCAAGAGTCCAAGTGTGTCCAATGCGTAGTAGACTTAAAGGCAGCCTGCCAATCATATTTTGTGTGCCGGCTACAAGTGAATATTGGGAATATTTTGACCGGTGGGGTTAGAGGAAAGATCAGGTGGTCATTCTCTGGGGAACTGAAATGGCTGGACAAACTTGGTAATCTATGGTGCTCTGAACCAAAGGGGCCAACGAGCCGCTAGCGTGGATAGATTTGAGAGTTTTTGTGTCTCCTAACAATATAAATTATGCTTTATCTGGTTTTCCACTTTGTCAAGAAAGAAACATGAAACAAAACACGTATTTTGTGATTTTAGCAAAGAAAGAAAAGTTAAGTTACCTTAAAGTTCTATCACTACTGGTCTTTAAAAAACAATATTCTCAAAACCCTTCTCTTAAATGTAGGCAATGACACAAAACTGCCATAATCAGTGACAATTATATCATTTAAGCCTGTTCAGATCTCATCCAGACCCATAACCCTTTCTGTTTTGGTGCTGAGCAACTGGCCCTCTGGGAAAAAGACCTGCAACCTCAGTAGTGTTAACACCACGCTCTCTCAAATTAATCTTATTTCCTCAGAAAATGGAGAATTCCCTGCAGAGTTCCTGCACATCTGGGCTGCTGAGGGCCTCCCTCCCAGTGGGATCCCCCCTCCCCCTGGGGGACGCTTCATTAGCTCACCCCCTCCCCTCCGGCTCTGTAAACTCATTAAGTCGCCAATTGGAGCAGTTTAGCCAGCAGCCAAAGTCTCGTCAGTTGTCCTCCTGCCTGGAAAACCTGGTTGTTTGGGCAACCTGTGACCTTAAATCTTGTCAGCGGAGCTCCCAGACGAGGTGTATACGCAGACGGGCGGCAATGTAAACAGGAGCATTTGCTTTCAAGGGGCTGTCAACACGAGGACCAGCCTGTAAGACCTTGTTTAGGCTTGGGATCACTGGCAGTAACTTATAACCCTGTCCATTCAAGGCTTTCACTGTCTCAAGACATCCTTTATTCCCACAGTGTTTGTTTTTCCTGATGGGACTTTACTCAGCCGCCACAATCAAACTCTAAAAGGAGAAAGGGAACATGTTTTGTCCACTGGAAGTGAAAGAACGGCCTGTTCTTTTTGTTTAGGTTTGTTAGCAAAGGCCTCTGTTGACGACTTTGACTCATTTCACTTCACAGATGTAGAGCTTTTGAGAGTGTGCTAGTGTGGAAAACTGCATGTTCTGCTCAAATAATTCCCCCCCTCCCGTCTGTTTCAGCCTCCAGCTGCAGCTGATGTTCAGAGGCCTGTCATGCGCCACTGGCTTTAGCGTCCTTCCCCGGGGCGAGTTTAGAGAGGCGAGAAGCTCAGAGGAATGTCTGTTATTCTTAGCAATTTAGATAACCTCTGGGGGTGAAATGATCCTTCCCGCTCACCTCCTCAACGCCTCCTGATAGTTTAAAGGGCAATACACATCATTTTGTCAGCTTGTTCCTTGTGACCAGTTCTTGTCATTTGCTTTGATAATGAAGTTGAAGCGGAGGTGGTAATTTGTGAGATCCATGGTTCCTTTGGTGTCTATCTGTGTTGTTTCTGTACTTCAGTTCTCAGAGATCACCTGTCAATCAGCAGACAGCCACATTGTGATGTCTTCTTCCTCGTCTGATTTTCTGTAGGTGGGGCACTTTTCCGTGTCATTACAGCCTCATACAGTAATCATCGATGCTGATGCCAACTACACAGTTTTCCTCTTGTATATTTTAAACACGCATTCAATAAATGCATCTGGATACCATACAGCAAGAGTTCAACAAATGTACAGGAAACCTGTAAATCCTGTATCCAAGAGAGTCTTTTATTCCAGTCAGTTGAGTACAAATACAGTGCTTGAACTTATTGTGTTGAAGTTGAAGTAAAAGGGGTTTGGCCAACACATTAAGACATAATAATTAGGATTTTTCCAAAAGGAGCAGGGCTGAGCATTAAAGGAGGTAAACGTAACTGTGTTTGACTTTTACTGATGTGTTTATGGTACTATTAGCCAACGGCAGCTAGCAAATGTGTAACACAAGTGCATTCAAACTTGTTAAGTCGTTTCTTTCATTTTACGGACATAATTTAATGCAGCGGTGGTGGTTTTATTTAGGGGTTATTTTCTTGTCAGTGGTGGTTGACGCTAAATAGAGAGTTTTACTGAACCTGGGTTTCATTTACAGATCCTGGTTTTATGTTTAAATCTGTTTTTATTCGATTTAAATCAAGTTAAACAGAGCAATGATTAACCTACATTAACCTTTCACTGGAGCTTTCAACCACATCTCACAGTCCTCTGTGTTTGAGACAGCATACAGTTTAAATATCACCTGGCCAAAGGTTCAAATTAAGATCAAGTTAAAAATAGTTTTGTCAAGGCCAGGAATCTCTTGCTCATGTTAAACTGAAGTCTTTGACCTACAGTGTGTTGAGAGAGAGAAAACATCTCAACTGAGCCAAACACAGTCAGTGAGTTGCTTTTGTTTCGTCTATCTCTGTCACGTCTGTCCTCTTTCCTCCGTCCTCAGCCAAGCAGCAGGACTGCGTCAAAGATAAAGACATGACTCTGGGATAAACCCACTCAACTGGTCAAAGCCTGAGATTCTTCAGTTTTCATTTCCTCTTGATTAATCTGACACATCTGGAACCCAAAAAGACAAAAAGGGAGAGGAAGAGATTTTATGTTGGAAAACATGGATTTTTCAGCAAAAGCGTCCAAAAAGTTCTCCAAAGGTGGAAGAAGAGTTTAATATCAGGGCCACAATAACATTAAGTGTCTGTTTCTCAGATCAGTTTTTCCTGATCGTTTTTTGAACACAGAACAACATCTGCTAAATTTCCTCTTTCTGGATAAGAGATTGACACCATCCTTGTTTCCTTCCTTCTCTCAGCTCCAGAGTGTTACCCAGGAGGCCATCAGATTTTGCATAATCCCTATCGCAGCGTCGACTTCGACTCCACAGAGATCCAGAACACGGCCATCCAGGACCTGATCTGTGACCACTCGCTGTCACCAGGCTGGTACAGATTCAAGATCAACAACAAGCCAGCGGAGATGCCGACCACCTGCGTTGAGGTAAGACTAAACTATGGTTGTGTTCACCTCACTGCACTCATTTGTTCCACTCTCCCTCCTGTACCTCCCGTGTCTCTACTCGGACGGCTTAATTGTAAAGATTATTGAGCCAAAAAATAGCATCCTTTGCCAGTGCAAACATCTAGCATCCAGGTGATTGCTTTAATAAGCACCTTCAGCCTAGGTGGAGGGCATAATAACCCCCTCGCTGCAGGTAATGACTGTTTCTGTCGTCGGCCCCCTCCTGCAGATGAATCGCTGTGGTACGCAGGCTCCGGTGTGGCTTTCCCTGAAGGACGCCTCCCTGCCGCGGCCCGGCGAGGTCCGCCAGCTCTCTGCCTGTGCCACCTGGCAGTTCTTTCACGGCAGTGCCAAGGACTGCTGCCTCTTCCGCATCCCCGTCACAGTGCGGCACTGCGGCGAGTTCCTGGTCTACTACCTGCAGCCCACGCAGGGGTGCATGGGATACTGCGCTAAAGGTGAGCTTGTTTGATCCGAGCTGACCTTAACATTTTTTTCAATCAACCACTATTCAAAGTGAAAAGAAGGTTATTCTTAGTTGCTTTAAAGGGGCCAGTTTGGAGATAGATACGTGGTTATCGTTCGACAGTAACAATATCTTAATGTTGAATCATAAATTTAAATTATAATATAATATATATAAATCATGTTAATGTACCATTACTGTTACGGGATATGTGTTTGTGTTTTTTCTTGTTAACATAATCATTATTCCTTATTTAGGTTTTTGTGTTGTAAAGAAAGAACTTTTTGTTGCCAAAAATGTCATAATAGAAAAACTTCCAGTATAAATAGCAGATCAATAATATTATGTGGAATATCGATCTACAGTTGAGAACAGCCATCATGACGTTGTCATTATAATGGAAGAAGCAAAATCAAGTTAAAGTAACAGTTTTTGGTGTTTTTGCACCAGAATAATGAGAAGAAATCTGACAAATCTCATGTTTTAGTTGCTCCAGATTTGGGACCCAGACTCTGCCCACCAGGTGAGGTTGAAGTGAACGGCCGATGCAAAGGTGAGACATTCTGAGAATATTTTGGCTTTCTACTTAAACTACTACTGTTGTTGATCTTAGAACAGAAGAAGAGGTGGCTCATTATCAGGAATTTTGATATTTTTGCACTTTCAACATCAGTGAGTGCAACATTGAATCTAAAACATTAAACATAATGTTACACTAATAACACCTTTGTGATAATCTTCACTGTGCTATGAACGTCTGCAAACATCTGTCCGTACATTCATCTTTTGGTGGATCCTTTTTAGCCAGCAGGTTATTTTAACATTAAACATTTTATATTTTTTTTAATCCAAGGCAGCATCTTCAAATTTCTTTGTTGACCAACAGTCCAAAACAATCATATAAATATCGCACTCAATACAATCTTTATAGCAACGCTTTATTCCTCTGTCTGTGTTTTCAGCTGCCATTCCATCCCTGCCGTCTCGACCAGTGATCACCACGGAGCTCATCGGCCAAAGTGTCCACCTGAGGTGCTCGTTCATCCCACCGCCGTGGAGCCAGCCACTGGGCTTTCAGGTGGTTTGGGCCAGACACATAGGCCACAGCATGAAAGCTGAGATCAGGCAGGAATCCACGCTGAAGCCCTTCTCCCTGGCGGAGATGGATGGCGTTCACTTCAGGCTCGGAGAAACGGTAATTCCTGCCAGACCGTGCTGAATATTTTCGGGGAGCACATGTGGAGGGTTTGACCCCTCGAGCGGACAAAGTAAGCCACGGATCACGCTGACCTCTTTTTGCGTGGGTTCAGCCTTACAAAGCAAAAGCAGAGAGGCAACCTGGGTCATATCCAGTTAAGAGAAGGCAAGAGGAGGGTGGGGAAGTTAAATCAGTTGCAGGTTGGAAAAGCCTCGCTCCACATGCTTCCCATTTAAACCTCTCCATTCAAATCTTCACAGTGAATTCTGGGGAAGTTATTTTTACATGCACAGATGCACACATACAGTATACAATAAAGCTGTTTCTCTTGTTGTTTTATGTGTTGTTTTTCTCAACAACTTGCCCAGTTAAGTCAGTTGTTCATAGGTGTTTTCTGTTAATAGCACAGGTTGTAGGTGTAATATTTATATCCAGTTCCAGTGTCCTGCTTTAAACCTGCCTCCTGACAGGAAGTTGCACTCACAAAGATTTGAGAGGTGTGAGCATTGGCTCCTCTGCAAGCTTCTGCAGCCAAAGTTACCCAAAAATAGTCCATAGTAAAGGTTACGTGTAAGTATATTTTAGAGAATATCAAACACCAATCACCCCTGGAAAAGAGGCCTATTTGTACCGATTGAAGCTCTAACCTCCTGCGGAGAGCGAGTCTTTGAATGAATCATTTAGCATCTTTGATTGACATTAGGTCATTACAAAGTGTTTGATCTGTCAGCCTTTGTCTTTGCAAGTTCTTTGAGTTTGGCTTTGTGTGTCAAGACCATGACTCTTGATCCAGGACCTAGGAGCTGGGAGAGGAACCATAACTTACATTCAGCTGCAGTTGTCATTGTTTGGATTGGACCAGGAACACTTTCAGAACACACGCACACACTAAAAAAAAATTATATACGAAGAATTGAAGATGTTTGTGCTTGTCAGGATGAATTATTGCTTATGAAACTAATTCTGATGAGCGGGGAAACAAGGAAGAAATCTGAAGAAATCACAGAAATCTGGCTGTTGATGGAGAATTAGAGTGAACTAATGCATCACTGGGGACAACTTTTTTTTTTAAGTGAACTTGAAACTTGCTTTTCTGCATTGGGAGTAATAATTGTTATGATTAAACTAATTTCCAAAAAGCCAGAACCCAAAGGCTGCTGACAGCTATCATTTCCCGGAGAAATGATTTGTTTAGCCAGGAAACATTAAGTAATTAGATTTTTAACGTGATGCTATTTGAAACTCTGGTGAAGTCACTCTACTATTCCCCCCACGTACAGCTGTGGACCATTGTGCTGCCATATTTGGACACCAGGGTTGTATTAGTTGTGTCTGGAACGTGTTGCAGAGAGCTGTCTTTAACACATGTTGATGTAGCAGCTGAGTTGGGTCAAAGGTCATTCATTTTTTTTAACCACAAGAGTGAGTTAAATGTTAGTGCTCTGCTGTGCCGTGAGGTACACGGGGAAATGTTTTGACAAATCACAAATACTGTATCAGTCGTACACTGTTAATCTTTCTCAAGACTAACAAGCACACATTGTCGAAATTTAAGACTCTCTTTCTCTTAGATATGTAATCAAAAACACGTCATGGTTTTGTGAAGTGTAAAAATGTTGTTCCACAAATAAATAAAAAATACAAATACAAAAATGCAAAATGAAAGTAGATTCTTCTGTTGTGTGACATTTAAATGCTAGTAATTGCTTTAAAATTTAGTTTAAAAACACAAGAAATGTAAGGCAGGTTTGTTTTTTAGGGAATTAAACCCTGATGAGGGTTAAAAACTAAATGTAATTTTATGGATTAAGACAAGCATCAAATTATTTCTTTTCTTGCAGTTCTCCTGCAGTGTGTCGACTTTCAGAGCCAACTCCAGCCACAGCAGATCTACTCCAAAAGAAAGTGAGAGTTTCTACGCTGGACTGAAGGTAAATGTTATGTCTTAACTCTTAACTCTGTTATACAGCAGCAAATGGAGGAAAAAAGCAAACCTCTTTTCCCTCTTTCTCTTCAGTTTTCTCCAGACTTGCTCCACATAGCAGAGAACAGTAAGGAGCATGAGGTGACCGTCCACAGCACAGTGCCTGTTCCCTGCTACGGCCCCGACCATGGTCACCAGTGTGGAGTTCCCCTGGCTCTGAGCGTCCAAGACCCAGGTCAGACCTGTAGGAAAACAAGAGAGAGTGTCTGTGTCGTCAACCTTACTTATCTGTAATGAAGCTTACAGTTTGAGTATAATGCAAGTTAACCATCTTGTTGTTGGAAACAAGTTGTTTGGAAATTTCCTAATTTTGGCAACCAGATGGAATTGAGTGGGATGAGCCTTCGGCAACTACCACAGCTGACTAAACATACCATTCTTTAAGCCTTAATTTCCCCTAATTGTTTTCACCAAAACACAAATTGGCAAATTAGAAGAACTGAAATGAACTATTGAGATCCTTACTTCTTATTAATAAATTTAAAGATCCTTTAAAAGGGGCACCCTGGCAGCTCATCTGGTGGAGTTGGCGCCCTATGGACCAGGGCTGAGGTCATGCTGCAGCGACCATGACTCTGACCTGTGGCCCTTTGCTCTGTGTCTGTCTACACCTTTTCCTGTCACTCTTCAGCTGTCACTATTAATTAAAGACAATAAAAGCCCCACGAAAAAAAGATCCTTTAAAAGCATTAACATCTCATTAAGATGCTGTTATCCTCGAAAGAGGCACACTGCAGACTGCAACAGGCTATTTCTTGCAGAAAACTCTTTTCATGAGCTTGTCTTAGTTCTTCTCCTGCTGTGCTACAACTTGCTCTGAACATCATCACATCAAAGCCAACTCAGGAAGACATCATTAAAGTTCTGCAGGCAGCTGTGTGTCATCCGTTAACACTAACTTACTGCTGTGTTGACATCCACAGACAGTCTCGGACATGAGGTCTCAAATGTGGCGCTATCCGCCTGCCAGGTGGAACTCCAGCCTAATGTCTGCAGCGACGGCAGCTGTGGCCAGGCAACCTTTTTTGTCACTGCTGTCACCGATTTCACACGAGATGGGAACCGAGCAAGTCTGATCAGCGTTTTGCCCGGACCCAGCGCACCACGACTCTGGAGAAACTACATCCCAACATCCCTGAAAGTGAATTGAAGTGAAACTCCTTGGGTGTTCAAAAAGTTTCAATTAATGCATCTTATGTTTTCTTGTTAGTATGAATATGAAACCTTTGCATGGAGTGATTCATTTACATTCATTACATGCACATTGTAGTCCACACAGAGGTTCTAGGGATTTATTAAAATGTCATCATAGAGATCCTTGAGTGTGCTCTAGGGATCTTTAAGGCATTGGTCGTGGAGTGATCCTTGAACAGGTTTAAGCAGACTACAAGGAGGATCATTCAGTGCCCCAAGAAATTCCTGTTATCCTTGAGGGGGTTTCAGGGTCTTTGAAGAAGGTCCTGGAAACTTGGAGGAGGTTTTAGAGAAAGGTTTAATCTGAGGCATGCAAGTTGTATGGCACATAAATAATCAGTGTTCAGTTTAGTAAATAACATTTATAGAAGTGAATAAAGGTGCTCTTTGTGGAACCATCTTGGGTTCCTGATATTAGGCATGCAAACTGTATAGGACATGGTCCTTACAGGGGCTCCTGGACTCTAAAATTAAATGAAGAACAAAGTATCATCAATTTCATGTACTTATCTAAGTATTACTTTAATTCGAGACTATAAAAAAGATGGCTCTAATTACAGGTTTCTCTGTCAAACTGTTTACATATACACATAGTTGTATAGTGCTTTATAAAAATTGGAGGGGGGGGGTGGGTTTATAGCCAAAAGCGTACCTGTTTGATGGTTTGACATGATGTTTAAAGAGCGCTGCTCTATGTAGTTATTACTTGTGTTCACACAAGCTATTACGTTATGTAAGACATGATGTCAGCCCTTCAGACATTGTGTCTCTGAGGAGTCTGTTGCAGAGGAGTTCTCTCATCTGTGTTTAGTGAAAACATCAAAGCCCAAGGTCAGAGGGTCACAGGGTGGAGCTACACTAATCTTTGGTCTCCTGACCTCTGCCCCTAGGTCATGGTCCAGGACGTTCCTACTTCCATCTGCTACTCTCTGACTGATCCACATGTCATTACCCTGGACGGCAGGTAATTTACATCCTAATCGGTTATTACCAGATGTCAAATTGTCATTTTAGTGTCAGTTTTGGGTTTTGGCATGGTAAAACACTAGATTAACTCAGATACTGACATATTTGGATGTACTCTCAATCACCTATGTGCAGGCGTTATGAAAACCACCAAACTGGCACCTTTGTTCTTTACCGGAGCCTCGTCAGGGAGTTTGAGGTCCACTCTCGCCAGTGGGACTGCGGCAGCCGACACTACGCTGTCGCCTGCAACTGTGGTGTTGCGGTGCGAGAGGGGAACGAGATTGCCATCTTTGACATGTGCAATGGCCAGCCGCAGGAAACCAGGCCACAGCTTACCCTGAAGAACATAGGTGACAGGGAGGGCAGTCGAGTCAGGGTCCTGGAGTCCCACCAGGGGAAGAAGGTCACCGTAGGTATCCGGACATTTTGACACTGGTACAGATTTGATTGGAAAATCATTACGCTGTTTGCTTCTCAGGAAATATCATTAGCTACTTTCATAGCTGACAATACATTGCCAGTTGCATGAAGACTTTAAATTTGATCAAACATGTGCAACTCTCTCAGTGTTCAAAATCTTTTCTGCTCTTGCATGAGGAGATTATGTTATGTTATGTAACTACCTGCTGGATGTGACTCTCCTCTTGTAGTTGATCTTTCCCTCCGGGGCCTTTGTTAGGGCCGATGTTGGTGACTGGGGGATGAGCCTTTCCATCAGGGTGCCCAGCGTTGACTACAGCAACACGCAAGGCCTCTGTGGCACCTTTGACCGAAATGGCAACAACGACTTTCACGGCTCTGATGGTGGCTCCTTTGGCCCAGATGACCTACCTCGCTTCATAGAGAACTGGAGGTCAGTCCGCGACCGCAATTCATACAAATACAAATTAGTGTGTTTGTTTTACTTTAAATCAATTTGACTGAAATGATTGAGTCTCCACAGAGCTATTTGTTTATTTTGTGTGTGTGTTAGGATAGCTCCTGGTGAGAGTTTATTTGACAAGACACCTCCTGGGACGATGCAGGAAGTCAGGAGGCCTTTCTGTCAGTGCCAAAAAGGATACAGCACTTCTCATCACGCTGGCAGGGGGATGAGGAACTTGTACAATCCTTCCGCTCACTCCGACTGCATATCATACCATAATGTGGATTACACATCTGTGTTCCCCTCTATGGACACAACAGTGGAATACATAAAGAGTCCAGAAAGAGAGGAAAGCATCCTGGATATGGCCTTTAACAGTCATCCTCTGGAGAGGAGGCACCTTCGGTCTCACAGCGAGAACAATAAAGACAGTGATGGTGAGCTGGGCGGTGAGTTCAGGGAGGATCTTCTGCTTTCTGTTGACAGGCCGAAAAGAAAAGCGTCATTTGAATTCCAGCCTGTCTTCACTTCTCAGAGCTTCAGCCAGGCTGATCTGGAGAACCTTGCCTACTTCTTCCCTGAGGATCACTTGGCAGAAGCCCGACCAGACTTGCAACCACAGTGGCCCACGCCGAGCGGCCTAACCTCAGCCAAAGCTCTAGAGGTGTGCCAGATAGCTTTGGCCAACTCGACTGTTGGTGCAGTGTGCCGGGGCCTGCTGGGACGCCGCCTAGAGGAGACAGTGGATCTCTGCATTCTGGACCTGCAGCTCAAAGACGACCTGGGGTGGGAGGAGGCACTGCTGCCGTACCTAGAGAATGAGTGTGAGAGGAGGCTGTTGGAAAACCGGACCCAGAGAGCAATGGAGGTGGGTGGTCCATCAGGAGCATCCATTGAGGTGGTGACAGCCCTGCGCTGCCCCAACTTTTGCAATGGAAATGGAGAGTGCACAGAGTGGGGCTGCCAGTGCTATCCCGGCCACAGCTTCTACGACTGCAGCCTGACCATCAGTGAGTATCCAGAGACAGTTGTTCCAGTCCTTAATGGGTTTAGCAGGTGAATTACCACTCAGACTACACTGCCTTACCACAGTGTACAGCTGTAAAATCATGATTAGAATAAGTTTTCCTTGGGTGGAAAATTAGATTAAAGCTCTACATTGATCACTGTGGAGATGATTAGCTAATAATTTGGATTAGAAAACATACCATTATTTTGGCTGACAAAAATATAAGCATTTCTCTGATGAGCTTTAGTCTAAGAGTGGTCTGTTAATTATATAAGATTATTAGAATCTCTATTCTAATTAGCTGCTGAAATCAGTAATATTCTCTCTTTTCTAAAGTACTTATGAACTAACAATAATCTGTCCTCCGATAGGCCAGCCAGTGGAGTTAACAGATTTGGAGAACGGTGGTTTGTGTGACATCCGAGCCTTCAACTGTCGCAACATTCGAGTCTTCGGTCTTGGCTTCATCGACTCTCCTGACCTTAGCTGCCATGCCACCAGACTGAAGGTGAGGAAAGGGGAGGTCAAAGGTCAGGTTGAGAGCCTTCAAAAAGGAAAGTGTTTTTTTTTTGTGTGTGTGTTTCCTCTGAACTGTGTTGGTCTTCCTCCGCAGTATATGAATGGAGTTTGGGTTCCAGGGGAAAAACAGAGAACGAAGGCCACCTTCCTCAACTCCAAGGCTTTAGACTGTGCTGTGCCATCTCTGAGCAACACAGCCGTCAATACAGAGGACTTCATGATGGACGATAAACCATACGCACGCTGGGAGATTAAGGTCATTTCCAATTAGCCAAACACTTTTGTTGTTTGTTTGTTGGTGGCTGTTTTGTCTTAAGCGTTTTTCAGTGTCAGCTCCACTCTTTCCTGTCCCAGGTAACCAATGATGGCTCCCAGTACAGCAAGGCCAAGGTCTTGACAATCTACGATGGCGTTTGCCAGGTCTGCGAGGCATCACGCTCAGGACTCTGTAAGTTAAAGGTAACTCACATAGAAAAGTGAACAGTGTTTTTCTCCATGACTCAAACATTTCACCACTGATCCAGCTGATTGATTTAATGTTTTTTTTTAAACCCCGTCCCAGGAAACCACAGCATCCCTTTCAGTAAACAAACCTTTTCATGGGTGTAAAAAACTGCATGATTATTAAAATCTAAGTAGATGAAACTGAAAAAAGAATGCTAAGTTTCATCTGCAATGTGATCTGTGATTATTCTGACACTGCTAGAAAATAATATAATACATATTTGTATGTTTGCTCGAGGCTGGACAGCTGCATGGAAAATATTTGTATCTTATACTGTTTGTGTTTTGGCCATGTCACGATTGTTATCAAGGTTATAGGTCATAAGCCGCAAATGTATTAAATCATTGAAATATTAGTGCTATCATCCAAAAAACACTCACTACAAAACCCACAAAACAAAAACATTAAATGACAAATCCTCATGCCTTAATAAAGTTAAGTTAATAAAGTTAAAAGATCCTGATCATGTTTAAAAGAAGAAGAAGGTAATTCAGACACTTTCTATGGTCCTTCAACATCCCAACTTGTTTTTAGGGAGGGAACAGGTCACCTGTTCATAAAACTTGGACTTGGGGTTTGTTTGTTTGAGTACAGGCACTAGATTTAGGAGACAGATGTGATTCAGTGGGTGTTTAGTGGAAAAGTGTGGTGAAGCGTTTTATATGCTCTGTTAGGGCTGCAGAATTTACACTCTGAACAACTTGAGGCTGGTTGAATGACTAAACCAGAGACAGTGTGATTTCCCATCCTTGCAACATGCAACAGCTGGCTATTTAAAAACCCAACAATTATTAAAAAAAAATAAATAAAGGTGCAGTGGGGGTTGTGTTGTTACTGGAACTGCTTTTTATTGGAGTGGAGACAGGACATCATGTAACCTTAAAGACAAGCTGGAGTAAACACATTTGCATGTGCTTGCCAAAGCTGAACTAAATTTAATTAACTTAAGCAGAGATGAAGCAGATGATGTGTATTTGCAGTTGATTTCCTGTTACTTACCTGCCATCTCCAGAATAAACCACAAAATGAAAATAAACAGCATGAAAAAAAGTTGTTTCTAATGTCATAAAACTGCATGTCAACATTTGTAGATTATGGATCCACCACAAACAAACCTTCTGTCTGTGGTTGCCAGGAGAGGACATGCAACATCGACGGGATGTGTTTCACAGAGGGAGACGCCAATCCCAGCAGCCCTTGCCTCCTCTGTGACCCGGACACCTCCAAATTCACCTGGTCCGTAACCCAAGGTACAAACAACTGTGTGTCTCCTCCTGTGATAAGGGAACAACCCTTTTTCAATACAACATCATCAAAATTACAATAATATAACATTTTTATATAAAAAGTACAAATCTGCTATATGGCCAAAAGTATGTGGACCGCTCCCCCTTTGTGTTCTGGGGCTGTTTGTCATGGTTTGAGTTCGGCCCCTTAGTTTCGGTGAAGAGAAATCTTAATGCTACAGCATACACTGAAATTGTAGACAATAGTGTTCCTCCAAGTTGGTCGCATCAGTTTGGGGGAGGACCCTTTCCTCTTTCAACATGACCATGCCCCTGTGCACAAAGCCAGGTCCATAAAGAAATCTTTTTCCCAGTTTGCTGTGGAAGAACTTGCATAGAGCCCTGCCCTCAACCCCATCCAACACCTTTGGGATGACCTTTCAGAAGGCCAACTGCAAGCCAGACCTTTTCACCCAACGTCAGCGTCTGACCTCACTAATGCTCTCGTGGCTGAATGGGAGCAAATCCCTGCAGCAGGTTCGACATCTGGTTGTTATAGCAGCAGATTAATACCCGTGGTTTTGGATTGACATGGTCAACAATCACATATGGGCGTAAGGTTTGGGTGTCCACATACTTTTGCCAACATATTACCTGTGGCAGTCATAGTAGTCTGTTGTGGTAGCCGTCCAACTGTGGTCCTGTTTGCCTCCATTAGTAGATCAAAGGAGCGGATATCTACGTTTCCCAGCATGCTCTGACCTGTCGCTTAACCACTCTGAAAGACAAGGGAGGGGGAAATCACATGGTTGAGTACCACAGCTACATATAATGACAATCATCCTTACTTACACTCAACAAACCACAAGTCAGTGAGGCCCCAAAAGCTGTGCACTGCAATAAATGACCAACCTAACATTTTAAGAAGATTTAAGAATAATCCTCCAAATGTGGTGAGATCGCTGTAGTATCTTTAACTGCTGTAGTAGGTTTTCTAATGTTTCTCTACCCAGTGTAGTTGTATGTAAGACAGAATAAGGCAGATCAATGCGATTTACGTTGGATGCAAGTTGCAGTATCTCTTCACATTGCCAGACTTTTTGCTTATTCCTAGACAGTTAGGTTAGGAATTCAGTAATAGTAATAATCCTCTTAATCAGCAAGCGTTCTCCTGTCAGTTTCTCAACATATGACCATCATGCTGACAAGTGTTTCCTGGGATTATCATCACTGTTTTCCTATTAAACATCTGTGGGGAAAGCGTGATCTCAGTAGTGGATGCTACATGAGCTTGTTGAGAGCGCCACTTGGAAAGGAAGGCTGGAAACCCCTCCAGCCATGAACATGTGTGTTTACAATGACTCTTCCTGCAACAGCCTGAAGGAATGTTTTCGCCAAACCAAGCTCGCTTGTTAAGAGTTTGTTTCAGGACAGGAGGTAGATTCTTTCATTAAAACTCAAAGATGTTGTAGTTGCAGATGTAATAGTAAATAAGAAGGTGGGAATAACGATGACAAAAGAGCTGATGGTTAGTTGCAAATGCCTGCAGAGCACATGGTGTTTGCACACAGAGGCTCAAACTCATTGCTATTTAATTGCATCATAAATACATTTTCAAGTTTTTCCTTTTCTGTCTTCAGTAAATGAGCCGCCGGCCTTTCACCGACCTCAAAGCGACATGCGGACATTTGCTGGGGAGAACTTCGTCTTCCAGTTTGCGGCATCTGACCCGGAGGGCTCTGCACTTCTCTTCCAGCTGGAGGAAGGGCCAAAGGGGGCTGTCCTCTCCCCTGCCGGCCTCCTTATCTGGAGGGTCCCATTGTTTCCTGACGAGGAGGAGGGAAGTCGATCGAGGCGCTCCTTCCGCTTCACGCTGTCAGACGAGTGCAACGCCCAGAACACCTTCACCGTGGAGGTAGAGTAGGAGAAGGAAATATAGTGGAAACATGAAGGTCACCAGTCAGTGAGCAGCAGCAGTTAAGTTAATCAGACTGCAAAACTTCAAGTTCACCTGACCACCACATTTCTTTTCTGCTATCACAAAAATCACAGGGAATGGTGCAGGAAGCAATGAGATTCATGGGAAATGTGGTGTTAATTTTAAGAGACATTAATACTCACAGTACTGTTGACGTAAGTTGGAGGCTAAAAGCTGTCTACATAGAGCAGTAAAGAGCATGATATACCTCAGTAGTCTCTCTCTTTCCATCTGTAATACAGATTGATGTGGTGCCGTGTGGGTGTCAGAATGGAGGTTCGTGTGTGACGGATGTCAATTTCCCTGCTGGCAGTGGGAAGTACCTGTGTGTATGTCCTGAGGGTAAGCAGGGCCACCTCTGCGACGAGGATGTAGACGAATGTTTGTCGGCTCCGTGCACAGTCGGCAAGTGCATTAACACAGCCAGCGGGTACAGGTGCGAGTGTCCTGCAGGGTTGAGAGGTAAGAATGAAATTAAAGTTCCTTAATTCAGATGCTGCTTGGTTTTTAAAACTCAAAAAGAGCCGGTTCTGTTTACTTCGGTTCAGCCGTTCTGGCATCATGTTCGCAGGTGTAGTAGATCAATCACATTTACAGTTTATGATCGCAGAAACAGTTTCCTGCGTGTGTGTTTTTGGCAGGTGTAACATGCCTGGAAGATATCAATGAGTGTGAAAGGAAGCCTTGTTTCCAAGGAGTTCAATGCTTCAACAGCTTTGGCTCCTATGGCTGTGGCCCGTGCCCCAAAGGCATGCTGGGAAATGGGACGACATGTACAGGTAAGCCTGAGCATACTGTGCATGTTTTAGGTGTCTTATGCCATGCTATTACATTTTTATCATGACAGCTGCTGTGTCAATTCTGTTGATACGACTGTGTGGATCAGCAACAGTATGTACCTGCCCACACTTAACATACGTTACAGTGGAGAAACGTACCAGTTAAAATTGTTTGCCAAATCTGGTGTCCACTCATGAGATCTCATAACGTCATGTGAATAAAATGAGAACATTTAACTCTCCACAGGTATCTGGGATAATAAAAAATAAACAGCTAAAACATAAAATGTCACATAGGCCACAAAAAACAATACTTTTTTTTATAAGATCAACCATTTAAGTAACAATGAAATACCTTCACACACACACACGAAACCCCCTACACATGATGACAAAGCTCCTAACCTCAAAGCTGGTTCTCATTAACAGGCACAACATTAGTTTATCAGATACTGCTGTTAGTTGATATTGAGCAGCCATTCTGTAGAGTTCCAAGGTCTCACATAATAAAATCTTTTCTTTCTATTTATTCATTTATCATATATGATCATATGTTGGAGGCTGTGATGTTGGTTCCAACTTTTATCGTGATTGTTCAAATGAAACATTTGAAGATTACTCTGTTGCACTAAGTAAATCACTTTCAATAAGAGCATCAGCTCACTGCCCAGAATGTGAAGGTGAATTTGTTAATCTCAGCCATGCGTCTCTGAGGAACACTCAGCAGAGATGCAGCATTTGTGTTGAATGGAAACCAGATGGCTGATTGCAGCTGATACTGCTGCTTCCCTCCATGTGCTCACTTTGCATTGCAGCGATTCCTAACTGGAGGTAATACTTGGAAAACACTGTCGCTGTGGGAGCCAAGCTTAATCGTGCAGTTGTTTTTCTTGTACATGCATGTGTATGGATGTAAGTTCGCACAGTAAACACATCCTTAATAGTTCCAATACTAAAACGTCTGAGACTCATAAAGCTGGTAGCTTCTGCTTTTTAATGCCTGCAGCTGCTTCACAGTGAACACCCCCCAGCCGCTAGGAATCTGAAAGCATGATTGAATGGTGCAAGGCTATGTGGCTTATATATTTATATTATTCTAAGTTCAATTGTAACACATCACCATGCTTATTTGAGGCACGCAGTGAGGGTTGGTTGCTAGCTGTGGTGACAATTTGACATAGAGAATAAAGTTGGTGATTGGCTGTCAACACAAAAACAAAGCTGTTACAAGGAGATGGGGATCCTCCTCATTTTTAATCACAGGCAACAAATTAATTTCAATTTGTATTTGAGTAGGTTGTCAGATAAATGTAGAACTTCTACAGGCTAGTAAAAGCTTTAAAATGTTGACTCATTTCAGAGAAATCATTTTGTGTTAAGAAGCTGGGCGCCACAGGTGTGTTTAAAGTTTGTAACACATGGCTTTATAACAAACCTGGGCTGAATAGCATTTGCAAATCATCGTCAGTGTTTGCTTTTACTCTGCGACTATCTAGATGTCAAATGAGTTGAGGCTTTCCAGCAATTCCATTATTGTCCTTTGAGTAATCAAAGAACCTCAAAACCTGGCATCTAAGCAGGCAGAAAATCAAACCAAGGTGTATGTTACAAGACATTATCGTCCCTAATGGAAAAACTGGCTCATAGCGAAGCACGCAGAATAAATTACTGTCAGCAATAAATTGTTTTGTCATTTTTATGGAACTTTGTAAAAGTAGACTCATGAGGACAGATCCTTGGATTTCCTCATCCTCCTTGTTAAACTGCTCACGCTTTGGTCCTTTGATCTGCTCGAGCAAAGGGGACTTTGGTTTGACTTATTTGACCTCCTTGTTCAGTTCAGTGCAAAAGATAAACAACTTTGTGTGTCAAGGGCCATCAGGGGCTGCACCATGGGTGAGGTTCCTATATCCTAAATGTCCTGGATGCAAAGCGAGCTGGTTCTTTTTTTGCCGTCCCCTGTTGAGAACAGGTCTGCAGTCTAAATAAATTCTAAGGCCCAGGCCCAGAGGAATCCAGACAACTCCAGACAACTAGATTTATTATCAGTATAGCCCTTAATCACAAACAAGTATCTCAAACTGAAAAAGAGACAGCAGCAGAAGGAAAACCCCTAACTAGATTCAGTAAATCGTAAAATCAAAGGCCAAGGTAATAACAGACAAGTGCAATAAATGTGCTGTTCAAGAGGATTCTAACTACATCGCAATACACAGTACGTCTCTCCAAAACTACAAGTACTGCAGAAGTAACCCCTTCAACATCCAACTAATTAACTGACTTTAAATAGTTAAAATATATGAGAAAATCTGAGTCAGAGCAAAGATGTCAAGTGTTTGAAACTTGACTCAGAAGTCTCATAATGATGTGACATGCCTCTGTTGCATTAGACTTCAGCATGAAATGCACTGTAGGGCAGGCTAACGCAGGATAAATCAGAGTCAGGTTGCGGTCATGTCATCGTCAATCACAGAGTGTATCCTGCTACGCTCGTGGCATGTAAATGTATTGATAGGCTGTGAGCGGTAATCATGCCTCGTTGAGATCTTTACACAAACTCTCTCCAAAGTCTCGTCTCGTGCTGGGCGTCTAACCTCTTGAACCTTTCAAGCTGCAATTTCTTTTCTGCAATCTTCATCCTCTTTGCTATTGGTTCTTTACAATGTGGGTGATCTAGAAACTGAATATGTAGTAAGTCCAGATAAACCAGATAAAGCTTTTACATGGCAGTCCAACATATAATATGTGTCTTTCTTCATACCGCAGTCGTCCGGCCAGTCCCCATCTCTCCCACATCTGCTCCTCGTATGACTGTCTACAAGATCCCAGATGTTCTGCTGCAACTACCCAAAACAAAGACAGACACTTTCCAGAAGACCTCAAGTGGTAGGCCCCTACAGACGAGGGCTGAGGCTGGGAAGACAATTCCAAGGCTTGACCCAAACCAATCAAAACCTAAGACCACCTCTTTGAGGCAGATTCCAGGAATAAGCCAGAACCCAGCACTCTCTAAGGCAGAAACTAACAAGAGCATCACAGCAATTACACCAATTGTGTCCCAAACAAAGACTGATGCTTTGAGGAAAACCCAAGGAATTAAACTTAACCCATCCAGAACTAACACAGACACCAACATCTCAGCAATTACAGAAGACCAAGTCAAGCCTGATCCGCCCAAAATCAGCACTACTATTGCCAAGACATCCACTGTCACACAGCCATCGGGAAATGGCAGACCAGCTTCAGGTACGGCCACTGATTCCCCCAATCTCTACCAACAGTATTTCTTTATACAGAAACTGGGCTGTACACTCTACTGAACCCACTCAAGTGCCTTTTATAGGAACATATGAGGACAATGATCAGTAAACTGGAACCAAGGTACACTCAACCTTTCTGATACAGGTGTATTTTATTATTGTGCCCACTAAAAACCAGCACCGACTGATTGGTATCAGAAAAATATTCAAAATATGATGATCCTCATTTACTGTAACTATGGATGTTTAGGAATGCAAAAAGGAATATTTGCTGCTGATACTTGATCTTTTTTATGTGAATTTGAGAAAAAACAAGAATTAGAATTAGTGAGTCCAGCCATGCTATCGATTCACTGTGATGATGCACTGACCACAGTTTGTGTGTCTCAGGATCTGGTCAGTCTCCGGCTGTGAATGTGTTGGCTACATGTGCCAGTAGGCCCTGCTTCCCCGGGGTTCAGTGCATCAACCGCAGGCCGCCACATGTCGGCTATGTTTGTGGCCGCTGCCCCCCCGGCCTTTACGGCAACGGACGCATCTGCATGAAGAACGCCAAGGCAGGTATGGGATTCTTTTTCTTTGAATTTGATTTTGAATATGAATAAAAATAAAAGAATGTTTGCCTGAATATCAACAAACCATTTATACAAAATTTTACCATTTATTCTTCTTCCTGTTTGTTTTCTAAACCTAAAGACATTTTTCTGGGGATATAAAGTATCACAAATTTGATGAATACATTGCTCAGTAATGTGAAATCTCTCCAAACATCGTGGGTTACTAATTTGTTCTTATGATGTTCTCGTTTCCATTTTATGTGTTTTTCTTGGTTGAAAGGAATGGCTTTTATTGTAGCAGATAAATCAATTTAAGTGGTTAGAGACTGCCTGGATGGATAACAACTGTTGGTACACTGCTTTTTTTGTCAGCGCCCTGGCCACAAAGTTTCATCACAAGTTTGCTTAACATTATTTTCTCATGCGGGGAATCGGGGCTGTCCTAACATCTCAGAAGAGACAGTTTTATTCCAACTTAAATCCCTTTACTGTGGATCGTGTTTGTCTGGAAAGTCTAAAGGTGGAACAAAGTGTTTGTGCAGATGCTTAAATCAGATTGCAATGCTGTTTCTACTGAAATTGTGGCCTGTAAAAAAAAAATCTCTTTGTTTTTGCCATTAGTAAAAACTGACTGTGTTCAACATAAAGCTCAATCTACCTCTAAGTGACCCTTCCTTAAGCCCATTCCCCTTACTTACTGTTGCTACACCTGTGAAAGCTGGCTATTCTTGCACTGCATATATTTAACAATTATGTGCCAGATTTACCACTAAAATATTTGAACTGTCTCTGCCTGATTTTTTAATGCTTCGAGTAGACTTGAAACTTTAAATTGGGTCTAAAATCTGCACTTCATGCTTACAGACTGAGGCTAAAACAATACAGGTCCCAGTTAAAAACTCAGCATCCTTACCAGTTGATGCAGCAGACATGGAAAGCATTGTTCTTCTCTAGCAGTGTAGAGGTAGTTTGCCCGAGTGGTGGAAGTGGAAGTTGGGTTGAGGACTAGTCGAATAATAGGGTTTGGCGGCTTTGTTGTAAACTTTAAGTCCAAAAAAGAGCAGGACGAAGCCAATAAAGTTTCCGTATACTAGCCTGAGGAGTAATGCTGGGTTACTACTATGGGTAGTAAGTTAGCCAGGTATGTGAATATTGGCAGGATAAATTGGAGCAGACAAACACAATGTGTAATGCATTTCTTACACTGTTGTTGTTGTGGTTTTGAGTTCAGTATAAAAATAACACCATCTTCTTAACTCAAAGGCATTGCTCTTATTACAGCGCCAATGACACCACTGTAGCATGTGCAGAAACCTAATGGCCTGCTTTGGCTAGTTACCCTTACTAAGCTATGGCTGGATAATATCTGTTTGGGGGAATGGGTACATTTTCCTAAGGCACTGAATTCACATTCTGTCTTTCCTCAGCATCCAATCATCTTCCTCAGCAGCAGACGGTAGCCAAGTCCAGCCGATTCCCGCACGGTAGCAGCAGCAGCAGCAAAGCCTCCCAGCTCCACCTGCCTAACCTTCCCACCAGGCATGGTATCAAACACCTGTCCTTGTCTGTCACAAGAGCGAGTCGAGATAATACACCACAGGTTCCCACCTCAGGGAGGGGAGGCGGGACGGGGAGGCGAGAGGCGGTCACTGCTTCAAGAGATGTTCCTAGAACCTCAATCAGTGCCCACCACGTCACTGCAAACACTCACATCACTCGCCAAAGTGCCATCGTCAGATCAGATGCCAGGACATACTCCAGATCTAGCCTGGCTTTCTCCAGGGTTTCTACAGTTCCCCATGTGACCGTTTCAAGGGTGAGTTCACCATTTCTGTACTGTGTGCTGTTTTGATAAAAGCCATGAAAGCTGTCGTGATTTCTAATGTGTAAGTGGACATGACCATCCAATCACCTTCCTTCCTTCATTCTATGATTATCTCCAGCAGTCTGAAGGAGCACTGACTGCTGCCACACCTTCCAAGGTAACACCGCCTGCTCCTCACCTGTCCACTCAGTCTGGCAAAGTGACGCTCAACCATCTGGCATCTACCCAGGCCAAACACTGGACCCCTCCAAAACCTGTTCTCCCACTCACAGCGGCCCTCACCGCTCTGTCCTACTCATTATCTGAGTCGGAGTTCTCTGCAGATGGAGATGAGGCTGAGACTGGATCCGAAGGCCCAGAGATGCCACACATGGTCCCGGCATTGACCTTCACAACACCGGGCAAGACGGCCTATAGCAGCTCCCTGCTGCAAAGAGCTACCTCCATCCGCCCAGGGGACAGGAGCGGTACGACAGCCAACAAACATGTGATGACCTGCGCTGACCATCCGTGTTTTCCTGGTGTCTTGTGTGAACCAGCAATTGATGGGGGTTTCCGCTGTGGGAGGTGTCCTGTAGGGTACACCGGAGACGGACTGGCCTGTCGAGGTAAGGCTCCATGTCTTCAATACTTGTTTAATGATAAGAATTGAGTGGGACATTCATTATCTTAAATATAATAAATTTTTAGCGCCTCGGAGCACACTTTGTCATTAGCATTATATTCGCTACATAGAATGTAAACGGTCAACGAGAGCGATGCTGCAATAAAAGTTTTCAAATACAAGATACACTAAGAAAACACTAATGGCCAAACATGCAAATTCATCTTTGTTAAAGTTTTACTGCTGCCAATCGGAGATCACGCCGCATGAAGAAGCACATTCTTGGACAGGCAACTTCAAAACTGCAAAATTCCAGTAAAATCATTGTTTGGTGGTTACACTCATTAGCACTGAGGATAAAGTAATAAACTCTTAAAATCTTAAATTTCAAATT